TAGGGCCTGACCACTATTAACAGAGATCCTCATCTACTCTGGTTCAGGACAACAGTTAAAATTATTTGTATGGTTCCTCTCTTTCTCCCCCCCGCCCCTTTTGGTGCCTATCCTTATAAGATAGGCAAGATAAGCAATCCCAAAGAGACAGTAGTGGGACCGACTATTCCAGAAGGGTGGAGGCCTGGGCATCGGAGAGGAGGAGGCAGGGGGAAGGGAGCAATGAGCCAATAAGCACTGGGACAGGGGAATAGCAAAGGATCTAAAACTGACAATGAGGAGGTTGTAGCGTTCCTGGTCATGCTTGATCAATTGAAATGTATCTGAGAATTTTTGAGAGGTGCCTGATGGGTAAACAAGATATTGGAGCAGGAGGAAAGAAAAAAGAATAAGAAAGTGAAAAACTATATATATAGGAATAAATATAGATATGTATATATGTAAATACATAAATTTATAAAGATAGGTATGTTAGTCTGGGTTGACTAGAGAAAGAAACTCATAGACATTCATATGTGTATAAGAAAGAGCTTTATATAAAAGAGCATGTGGTAGCTACATAATCTAGTGTCAATTTGCGATTATTGAATGAAGGGGTTGAATTTAGAATGTCAATCACGTCACAGCTTGATGATCTCATTTGAAGGCACCATGGAGATAATAGCTCACTGGAGGCCAGACCCAAACTCTCTGCTTCATCTTCCTGTTGACAAGACACATAGTGCTATCCTGATGGCAGCCAGAGCCTGGAGCTGGAGGAGCTATGTAGAAACCTATGCCAGCACTAAGATGCTTCCACCGCCACTGGATCCACCAGACTTTCCACCCACTGGCCTGTGATCTTCCTGAATTCGGTGTCATTGCATGTGTTGTGTGAGTCCAAAGATGAATTTATAGACAGGTATCAGAAATATGGGCTAATATCAGATTTATGGACTTGATCTGGATTAGGCTGGGATGTTTTCTTAATATACAATTACTCTTATATAAATCTCATTCTTGTACACATATGAGTCTCCATGGATTTGTTTTTCTAGTTTACCTGGACTGAAACAGAGAAATTGCATATTGAGGAAACAGCCGAGCCCAGTCCAGGTCAAGTCCATAAATCCAATATTAGCCAATAAATTCCTCTTCAGACTCACGCAGCATCTGCAACAATGCTGAAAGCAGGAAGATCACAAGCCATTAGGTTGAAAGTCTTGTGTATCCAGTGGCAGTGGCAGCATCTCAATGCTGGTGCGGGTCTTCATGTGTCTTCTCCAGCTCTCTGAGTATCTCAACAGTATGAAAGAGAAGGTACAGAAACTGAGTCTGGTCTCCAGTGAGATATTTATCTTTGCCATGCCTCCAAATGATGTCTTCAAGCTGCAACCTGGTTGATAGGCTAGATTCTGCCCTTTCACTCAAGTTGACAGGAGATTATGTAACGGCCACAATAGGTGTATTTGCCTATATACGGTATATAATCACAATAAGGAAGCAGATGAACTTTGGGCTTTTACATAAATCTTACCTCAGTACAAGAAGAGTTTGTTCTACCAATGTGACAATGTATGATACTCACCTTCCCTACCCGATCGCTGAAGACAAATGGGTACATAAGCAAATGTGGTGAAGATAGCTGATGGTGCATGGCTCTTAAAAGTCTCATGTCTTAAAGACTTGAAGTTAAGCAAGTGGCCATCTAGCAGGGAAGCAACAAAGCTGACATGGAAGATGCGCACTAGCCTCTGTAATCATGAAGTATCAACCGGAATAGGTATCAGAAGTTCAAAAATAAACAATCAAATTGAAGGAGTGTACATAAGGTGGAGACTCAAAATCCTCCTGTAAGATAATTGGGCAATCCTTCACAGAAGGGCCACATTGAAGGGGTGATTAATCCAGTATAGCAGTGATGAAACATATTAACTATCCATTTGTTTTTTTGGTATTTCCTCTCCTTACTATTATGGTCTTAGTTTTATCTCATTAATCTTATTATCTTGGTGTAAGTTCATTTGTATAATTAAGATCTTTCAATGCATGAAATTCAAGATAGATAAACCCTTTAAAAATAGAAATGGGAGTAATGATTCCCTGGGGGTATGGGACGAGGGTGGGGTGAAGGGGAACTGATAGCAATAGCAATGATGACTGTACAATCCCACTTGAGGGCCATGAATAATAGAATTGTAGGTGAATGGAAACATCATATGGTGTAAAATATGGAATAAAAAATAAGAAATAAAATATATTTTAATATTTATATTACAATAAGGGTTCTGGGGTTGGGTGGCAGGAGATAAATGGGAACTGTTATTAAAGAGTTAAGAAGAAAGAAAATGTTTTGAAAATTATGGTGGCAACAATTGTACAATTATGTTTGATCTAATTTAATTATGGATTGTTATAATATCTCTCAGAACTCCCACTATAATGTTATACCCCAAAATTCTGGAAAACAAAGAAACAAAAAAAGGAACAAATCCAACACCAACTAACTGAGTTAGGGAACATAGGACTAATATGGGAAAACATCTTTATTTCTTGGAAATCTTGGAACCCATGGCCCCTGCTACTCCCAGGACCTCTTGGTTTAATATGTGTAACTTTGTGCTTCCAGCCTGGTCAGTTCTGCTATTTTCAATTTTTTCTTTTTTGCAGGAACACATGGGTGCCTTCACCAATCAAACCTACACAAAGTTGTATATGGCTGCATTCTATCAACCCCTAAAGTGTTCACCTGATCCTGTCAAGACAGAACAGTTACAAGTCTTTCTACACCCCTGCCACCCCTGCCAAGCAGGAATAAGTTGCAGATAATGAGACCTTTGGCCCTATTCCCTATTACCCAAAGGCAGGATTAATAGGTCTGGCTGAATGTAAGATGGCACCTGGACCATTCAAGGAGCTCATTTCTGTGCTTCCTGCTTATGCTCTAAACCCGCTCTATCCCCACACCTTCCTGTGCACACCAAAAGCCACGTCACCCCCACTTGATCCAAACTTGTCAATCAGGAGGTCACTCAGTGCCCTCTCACCCCTAGCCACCAGTTTCCACCCCCGAGAGTGCATCTGTCCATGAATCCCCTATGTTGGCGCTCCTCACCATTGTGGGTAGCCCAGCAGGCTTCACTTCCCAATAAAGTCAGTTATCTGATACCCATGCTTCAGCCTGTTTTTCTAACATTAGTGTATTAACAATTAGGTAAAACAATTTTGCAAGTATTGTTCAAGTTCATATATACATGTGTTTATTCCAAACAAAACTTCTCTAAACAAGTCTCTGCTGTCAGACAATGCTTATAGGCAATGCATACAGGCAACAAGTGGGGTCCCTTTAAAAAGTCTAATCAAAACAAAGAGTTCTTGCTAATTTAAGAACAATTTCCTTTTATGGTGTTTCCTTGCTTGATATGATCCAAGTGAAGTTATCAGTGAAGATATATGGTAGCTATAGCAAACTGCATTGGCCAAATAAGATGGCGTCCAGCTGTGAGAAAGAGTAGCATCTGGAGTATTAAAGGATTGTCCTTTAAACAAGCAGCCTTCTAAGTGAGGTGGCACTCAAGTCTACAGTGAAGGAGCACACCAGCCTAAGCAATCCTAGGATTGTAGATGATAGAATCCATGATCACTAGAGGAATTATATTAGAAATTGTGAGCACCTGGTTTGCAGAAGGAACTGGATGACAGTGAAAGTCTAAAATCCGTTTGCAGAGTTCCCACATGGATTAAGCCTCCATTGACATTTCTTTGAACATCACACAGGCATGTGAATATTCATGTACTCAGAGTGCACTGGAAATACCCAGAGTGCCTTTGGGTAATAGGGAATCAGGCCAAAGGTCTCATCTTCTGCAACTTCTTCCTGCTTGTTAAACTTCCTGCATATTAAACTTTCTAGGTATCTGACCAGTTCAAGGAAAGGCAGTCTTCTTTGGGGAATTTCCTGCTTGTGTCCTCGATGGAGAGTACTGTAGAAGATTGAACAGTCATGGCTCATGCCCTGATTGCCTGGGAACGTCCTTGGGACAATCTTGTAAGATTCTCTGTCTACTAGAATTACATAACTCAGTCAGGGCCTCATTCCTGCTCCTTTAATCTCACCTGTAAATATGATATATTACTCTCTTGCCAACCATTCATTTGTGACAGTTTTCCTCTCATATGCCCTTTAAAGTCTGTCTATCAACAAACCTTGGGATATCATTATGACCTTGTGCTAATGGTCTCCTTCATCTGGATGATATATCTTTGTCTTTTCCTTATCCCATTTAAGACTGTAATAAAAGTTCTCTTAATAAAAGCAAAACAACAACAACAACAACAACAACAACAACAACAATGGCTTCTGAGGGGATTTGTTGAGTTATTTCAACGTAGAGTGTTTAGCATAGATAATAGTTTGGATAACACTTTTGTGTGTGTAGAGGTGTGTGATTTCCAAGGGGTAATCTTCATTCATTTTCTCAGAGGACACAGGACAATCATGAAAGCTTATAATGAAGACTCATCTTAAAACTTGAAAACTATATTGGGAAAAAAATAATAATACAGGAAATTGTGGTGAATTTTTTTTCAATGCACCTACTCATTCTTCAAGGGTAGTAAATGCTGTCTTATCAGGATTTCATTGGGAAAGTTATCACACCTGGCCATATAATCCTGATAGTACCCATTCAGAACTCAAAGGAACAATATTTGAGACTCTCAATGGTACCGAAATTCCCATTTTGATATGGTATAAATTGGAGAGTACAGAATTCTTTAGAGAAAAGTTAAAGAGATGAAAACATCAACTTTAGAAATGTATACACCTGGATGGAGGACATGTTCAAAAACAATTGTGTCATGATTTTATATTTTTGTTCCATAAATTCCTATGTTTTTGTAGCAATACTTTTTATTTACTCCCATATGCATAGAACATTCTATGTTGGCATAAACTAGAATTGTTTTTATGTGCATGTTTTCATATTGAATATCAATAAGACTTTAAAAATTAATCTTGCCTTTTGAGAATCAAACTCAGTATTACTTGGATTTTCTTCCTTTGTTGACTCAATTTGAGAGCTCTTAGTATTTCCAGGAACATTTTCTTGTGGCTTCAGAGAGAAAAAGATAAAGAGAGATAGTATTTAAAAGCAAGAAAAATAAGTAGAATTCATGAGTCATAGGTTTATAATAAAACATTATATAATGGTAACATTATGTCAACCTGATTCTCAAAGAAAAAAAATTAAGGAGAGATATTTCAGAGACTTTAAAGACCTTATATATTAAGCAATTCTTAAATTGGAAATTGAATAAAAATATTCCTCTTCAATTTTACATTAGTAATATCTAATGAAATTATTTTTCCCATTGGACTATGTATTTCTCGCAGAATAAAATTTTAGGGGAAGTACCCTACGTCACTAAGAAATAATAATCTTATGATTTCTCATTATTTTTAAAACAAATAGATCTCAAAAGTAGTAAGAATATGTGTTAGTCTGGGTAGACTAGAGAAGCAAATTCATAGACACTCATATGAGTATAAGAAAGAGCTTTATATACCAGAGCAATTGAATATTGAGAAAACATTCCAGCTCAGTCCAGATCACGTCCATAAGTCCAATATTAGGCCATATGTCCAATACCAATCTATGAATTCCTCTTCAGATTCACAAAGTCATGCAATGATGCTGAATGCAGGACAATCACAGGCCAGTGGGTGGAAGTCTTGTGGATCCAGTGGCAATGAAAGCATCTCAGTGCTGGCAGGGGTCTCCACCTGGTTCTTCAGCACTGAGGTTCTGACTGCCATTAGCCTGTCACCACATGGCTTTTCAAGGAGAATACCTTACAGGGACTGAGCATGTGTCTCACCTCCAGCAAGCTATTTAACTCCTTAGCGCTTCTAAGTGAGGTCATCAAGCTATGACTGACCTGTTTGGCAGGCTAGACTCCACATCTTCACTCTGAATCCTCAAATCGACAAGATTTATAAGAATACACCTTGTATTCTGAATAACAAAGAAGCTGTCCTGTAACATGCCAGGGTAATTTGCATAAATTCCTCTACCATCAACTCATGCTGACTCATAGTATGTTGGGTTTCTAAGATTTTGTAAATATTTACAGGAGCAACCAGCCCCAACTCTCTTCCTTAGAGGAGAAACAGTAATTGACCTTGTGGTTAGCAGTCTAATGCTTACCCAACAGCATCACCAGACTCTTTGTAATTTACACAGAAGATAGGAATATGTTGACAACAATAGTTCACCAATTTGTAAATCTCTGCTTCATAATTTAAAACTAATACAGCACTCTGGAACTATTAAATGATATTCTAAAATCTATCTTTTAGGAACACTAAATTCCTATTATATGCAGGCTAAACTTATACACTCACATTTGTATATGCTTCTTTTGCTGAGCTAAATAGACACAAAATAAACCCAGTGAATGCTAACTTGTGTCTGAAATATTATTACACTGATGTCAAGGAAAGGAGAGAATTGGATCCTAGCCACTGGGGACGTGGAAAGACTTTTTTGGGTTACAGTTTCCATCACAGTTTTTCACACAGTTATATTCCTTTTAAAAAACTCACAGCCATTAAGTTAATTTCAACTTATAACTTAGCCTGTAATGACAGGGTATACCACTATCCCATGGGTTTCTGAGACTGTAACTTTTTATGGGAGTAGAAAGTCTATTCTTTCCCCTTTGGGACAGGGTGGTGACTTCAAACTACAACCCTTGCTTTTAGCAACCCAACACAAAACTACTATGTCACTTGGCCTCCTATTACAATAATTACCAAGAAAAAACTCATATAAAACAGCATCTAGTTATTAAAAAAAATTGAGGGTACTTAATAAAATTGGTAAAGTCTCATATATGAAAAAGAATATTAATAAAACTAATAGAAGATCAGAGAAAAATGAGGGGTAAAAGCACCTTATTTCCTTGAAATGTTTCCTTTTTAACTTTCCCAAATTAACATCTCTGGGTGAAAGAAAGAAAGAAAAGTAAGTAGGGAGGAATGGGGAGGGAGGAAGGAAGGAAGTAAAGTTAGAAACTTCTCTTGGTTGTATGAATTTCAGAAGGAACTAATTATTGTCCTCTCTCTTGCTCTTTCCTCCCTTTATTTATATCTTCCTTGTCTGCTCTTTAATTCTATTATAAAATTTTCTTTGCTGGTATTTGTTGTTGTTGCTGCTGCTGTTGTTTTTTTTTATGTTTTTATTATTGTCTCTGCATGTCTATCTAGATAAGATAGGTGGGATAAGCAATCTGGAGGAGAAAAAATCAGGGCTGACTGTTTTGGGGGACACAGGAGAGGGAGAGTCAGGGGAAAGGAAGAGGGGTGCCAACAAACCCAGGGATAAGTGAACAAAAAGTGATCTAAAATCAATGGTGAGGATGGCATAGGATGCCTGGTGGGACTTGACCAAGGGCAATGTAGCTGAGAGGAATTACTGAAACCCAAATGAAGGCCGAACATGATAGTGAGACAAGAGGAAAGTAAAAGGAAATCAAGGAAAGAACAAGGAGGCAAAGGGCAATTATAGAAGTCTAAATACAGGCAAATACATATGTAAATATATTTATATATAGCAATAGGAAAATAGATCCATGTACTTATATTTATATGTTAAGTATTAATGTAGAAGATGAACATTGGGCCTCTATGTAAGTTCTCCCTCAATACAAGAACACTTCGTTCTAATAACCCGGCATTCTGTGACGCCCACCTTCCCTGCATGATCCCTGAAGACAAAAATGGGTGCATGAGCAAATGTGATGAAGAAAGCTGAGGGTGACCGGCTATCAAAAGATATAACATTTGGGGTCTTAAAGGCTTGAAGATAAACAAGCGGCCATCTAGCTGAGAATCAACAAAGCCTACATGGAAGAAGCACACCAACTTGTGTGATCATGAAGTTTCGATGAGATCAGGTATCAGACATCAAAGACCCAGAACAAAAAGTCCTATCATTGTGAATGAAGGGGAGGTCAGAGTGGACACTCAGAGCCCACCTGTAGGTATTTTGACATCCTCTTACCGAAGGGACACAAGGAAGAGATGAGCTCGTTAGGGTGCAGAATAGCACTGATGAAACACACAACTTTTCTTTAGTTCTTTAGTGCTTCCTCCCCCACACTATCATGACCCCAATTCTACCTTACAAATCTGGCTAGATCAGAGCGTGTACACTGGTACAGATAAGAGCTTGCAACACAGGGAATCCAGAAGAGATAAATCTTCAGGACCAATAATGAGAGTAATGAAACCAGGAGAATAAGGGGAAGGTGGGGGAAGAAAGGAGGAACTTATCACAGTGATCTACATATAATCCCTTCCCGGGGGGATGGACAACAGAAAAATGGGTGAAGGGAGACGTCGGTCAGTGTAAGACATGAAAAAAAAACCCAATAATTTACAGATTATCAAGGGTTCATGAAGGACGGAAGTTGGGGAAGGGAAGAAATGAGCTGATACCAAGGACTCAAGTAGAAAGAAAATGTTTTGAAAATGATGATGGAAACATTTGTACAAATATGCTTGACACAATGGATTTATGTATAGAATGTGATGATCTGTAAGAACTCCCTATAAAATGATTTAAAAAAAAAACAAGAACCCCCCCATATATACAAAAAGAAATGTATCTCTTGATATAGATTTTTTTTATACATAAGAGTGTCACTAGTTTTGTTCCTCAGAAAACGCAGCCTAATACACCATCTCTGGAGACTAGGTTAGCTTATGGCAACAGCATGTAGACAGAGGGGAAACAGAAGAGACTGAAGATGGAGGAATCAATAAGGTGCCATTTAAAATAACAAGATGGATGGTGGTGGTCTTGGTGTTACATGCTTTCAAGTGAGTTCTCACTCAAAGAGGCATATACAACAGAACAAAACACTTTCAACTCCTGCACTATCATACAATTGTTCTTATAACTGATCCTATTCATACAGGCACTGTCAATCCATCTTGGATGTTTTTCTTTTTTGTTAATTCTTTACTGCACCAAGCATGATATCCTTCTTCAACCATTGGTTGTTCTTGAAAGCACATACACATGTGTGACAAAGGCTCACCATCGCTATTCCCAAGAAGCATACCTGTTGTAGTTAGTCTAATGCAGATTTGTTTCATTTTCTGATGACAACAACAATTAAATTCAAATACAGAAATTCTTCTCCAGTTCTCCTACTCCATGCCTAACTTTTTGGTGCATATGAGGTGACTGGATGCTGCTTCCTGGACACTGATGATGGATGCAAGTGAATTGAAATCCTTGAAAACTTCCATATTTTCTCCATTTACCATGATATGGTTTATTGGTCCATATGTAAATACTTTTGTTTTCCTTATATTTATGATCCATTTGACACTATTCCCCTTCAATGTGTCATTCCTTTCACTCCAAACCATTTGATTGTCCAATTAAAATTATCAATGTCAGTCCATTTAAGCCCACTCAAGCCTGTATACTAATCTTTATGCATTCCGTTTTACTTTTGATGACTTCTAGCTTCCCTAAATTCATGTTACCTACATTCCAATTCTTCCTTTTTTTTAAACATTTTATTAGGGGCTCATACAACTGTTATCCCAATCCATACACACATCAATTGTGTAAAGTGCATTTGTACATCGTTTCTCAAAACATTTTCTCTCCACTTAAACCCCCAACATTAGGTCCTCATTTTCCCCCTCCCTCCCCGCTTCTCCCTCCCTCATGAGCCCTTGATAGTTTATAAATGGGTATTTTGTCATATCTTGCCCCGTCCGACGTCTCCCTTCACCCACTTTTCTTATTAATATATGTCTGCAACTTCTTCTCCTTTAAATTTATTTAACACATACTTCTGAAAATCATGAAAACTTTGCTCCATCATATGATTAAAGTAAACTCAGCTGTGAATAGACAGGTCTTATTCTATAATATTTTAGTGTCTCTGAGGCTGAGGGACTTATCTTTAAACACTTTATCAAGCCAGGCTTTACTGCGATTCATAAGGCTAATTTTCAGTGGCTAATTTTTCAAAAACAGATCATGTTTTCATTCTTCCTAGGTTGACTTAGTATTGAAAGTCCACT